AGGTGAGTGTAAGCACTGGCTGAGGGAGAGACAGGTAGGTGCTTGAATACCACGTAACAAAAATCCCCTTAAATAACATAACATGCCAGGAAAAGGGAATGTCGATGCCTGACCACCAGAAATTCTGGATTCTTAAATCTTCATCTAGCAGATGCAATAGTGCTGTTTGTCTGTTTTAAAAAAGAGAAAAAAATACATGAAGAGCAACATTCAGCTTGCCACAGCTCTGGCAAATCTGTGCTGGGCAAGACCCTTCCCTCTGCTGGGATGTGTCAGATCTGTGATACACATCCCACAGGATCTTGTTTCTGCTCCAGTCCCAGCTCCTTGCCTAGCAGCTGGGACTCCAGGAAGAGAGGAGACAGCGAGCAGTCCTGCTTGCTTTGACCATCCTTTTCCAAGGCAGGATCTACCTTTTGTGACGGTTTTGTAATGTCCTTTGACTGGGAGCTCCTCAGACTGCCTTAGCATTTGGAAGGTGCCTGTTGCACACTGTTGTTCCTTTGCCAAGCACAAAGACGACTGATCTGTACTCCCAAAGGCCATCCCTGCCCCACCTCACTGGTACTGGGCCCCTGTCGGAGCATCCAAGGCTGAGTGTGTTTGGTTCCTTGTAGTTTGCTGGCTCACAGCGGTTCATTTTTCTGGCACTTGGGTAGCAAGACTCATCCACTGAGTCAATGTTTTATCCCAGAGTCAGGTCTGTAAGTGTAATTCTGCACTGATCAGTGCTCCACAATGATTTACAGTGCTATCCATTGGAGATGCGTAACACTGCCTTGGTTCATTTGGAAGGGCTGTAAAGCCATTCAGACTCAAATTCACCACAGGCACAGCTGAGAATTGCCATGCTAGTATTCACCTCATGTATGCTAAGCAGGTAGCCCCCAAAAAATCTTTTTTGGGGGAGGGGGAGATGGAATGATGAAGGCTTGTGCAGGGAATAGAAGGAAGACCCCCAACGGCTTTTGATTTCAGGAGGAGACTAACGCAGGATATATGCCTGGATGCTTAAAAGCCTGTGGTGTGACCTACAATGAACAAGAGACCGCTATGGCAAGTGTGGTAGCCCCATATTCTGCAAAAATCTTCTAATACTGAAATGCTGCAACAGTTCTGTTCTTCACAAACCTCTCCCTGGACTTCTTCCTGTTCTCTCCACTGATTCATAACCAAACCGGGCTTGCATGCAAGCACTGGTGGAGATGGGTAAGGAGGACAAGTTTCAACCCTTTGAGAAGGACCATGCCGTGCAGGGCATCAGACACGATCCTTGGCATCCCTTTTTTCCTTGCATTTTGGGGATCAGCCAAAATTAGAAAAAACAGAAAAGCCAAAGTGGGAATCACTTCTCTGCTCTGCATGTTGGAATGAATTTGGTGGGGACGGAGAGGAGTCTGGATGTGGACCTTTTCTTATGATCCATACCCAAAACATAAGACTGAGAATAAGGTAGTGAGCATTATTAGTTTGGTTAATAATTCCTACTATATGTTTATTCGTGACATTAATGCTTTGAGTACCTGAAAGCATGCCAGGCATTTTAAAGAAGCAATGAAGGTTTCCTGCTGTCAAGAACTGCCCCCATTTTGCAAAGACCTGACACCTGGGAGATTTAAGCTTGGGTTCATCTCAGCCACATATAGACAACTGATGTTTGGTCTGTACAGTCAGCTGGGAGAAGGCACCCACCAGCACTTCTGGCATGAATTGCCCAGGGATTATCTTTTCCTGGCCTTTGGGGACTGCAAGCCCAGTTTCTGTGCTCCAGTTAGCAGGGACACCCCCACAGAGTGTGAAATCTGGGGAATCCCTGTGAGAAGAGGCTGCCCAGACACCAGGAGCCTGTGGCAGGACTGTGGGGTGCAATGCTGTGTGTACCTCTGTGCTCTGCTCTCCTCTCACACCCCAGATGATAGGTTTTTTTGGGGGACAGGATGACAAGGGGGGCTTTTTGCCCTTCTTAAGGACCAATGGGTGCCATCCTCCATTTGGCTGCCAGTAGCCTGAACCAAGCACCTGGGCTAGTCCTGGTGGCATAGGGCCAGCATGAGGTGACCAGCTGTGGACTCTAAGAGGCTTTAAATGTGTCGGTGGCTGGGAAGGTGAAGGATACGGCTTCCAACGAGGCATGCAAATGGATCCTCAGTATGGGCCTTCTCCACGGGGACAGTGAGCTGGCACAGGAGCTGAGAGAGGAGCATCTTCAGGAGGGTGAGGACCAAAGATCCGTGCTTACCCCAGGTGCACTCTCTCAGCCTGAGAGAGCTACAGGGGATGCCGTTATACACCAGTAATGCCCATGAGTACATTTATGTAGGTCCATTACTAATTTTATGATGTGTCTACACCCTTGCCCTGTCCACAAAATCACTGACACCCTCCCCCCCCCACCTCGCACTATGTCAGACGTAGCAAGCAGCCCACGCATGCAGAGTTCACCTAAATTCACCCGGCAGCGGCATCCCAATCATGAAACTTCCAGGAACGGAAAAGTAAAACAAAGGTCTGATGGATACTCGCGCATGTTTTACCTATGAGAGGAACGAAATAAAGTAGCGTGCTTTCAGAGTTGTGGTGAATCGCTCAGAAACAATCTGCAGACATTAACGGAATTGTATTTCTGGGGAAAACAAAAAAAGGAAAATGCAGGCCCTGGGATATCCCTTTATGGCATATGCATTTTATGTTCAAATGCATTAATGGGACTGCTATGCTATGAGTCATCCCGCACAAGAGTTTCATGTGTTTCTTAAAATACACTAGAAGTAGCTGAAGGCACGCAGGGGTTTGCCGTGCAGTTATCTATCAGGAATCTGAGCGAATACCTGCACGCGTGGCATCACGGGCTTCAGAGCTGGGGGGGGGCCCGTCCTGGTCCCTCTCTGCTGCTTTAACAGACCAGGGTTGGGGAAGCCAAAACAGGGTAGGAACTGATCCTAGAGAATAACAAAACGCAGGCTCCCTGTGTTATTAGGGAAGCCTCAGCACTGAATTACAGAAAATTTGCATATATGTAAACAGAAAAGATGGAGAGAT